TGCGACTGTGGCGATTATTGCAATTTTCGCTCAGTAGGTTTTTCGCCGAAAGACTTAATCCCGCGAATAAGCTATAAATTAAGCGTAAATAAAGATATAGGAATAATTAAAAATCGTACTACCAACCACGTATCGATTCTGTCTAACACCGTTACGTGATTCGAGGGTGCAAGTTTTTTAACGAGCAGAGTCGAGACGATATTGACAATTAATTGCATGATTTAAAATTTGCATCACTGAATTAATAATGCATTCTATTAAAGCGAGTAAATTTACATATTTCTGAATTTATATTTTTTTCAAATATAAAATATCGTATAGTCACTTCAAAATGAAGCAATAACTGTATGTCACATGTTTAAAAAAAATTTTTTCTAAAATAATTAACTTCAAATCAAATTAATGCATTTACGCAACTTGTTTTAATCGATATCGTATTATATGTATATATATATCAAGCGCTGTACAGTCTCCAATTGTGATCGACGGAATAATTTAATCTCAAGTGTAATCGAGTTGGGCAAGACGATTAGTTATAGAAAATGCGTGCCTAATATCGCTCGCGTCGTAATCGCGCGCGGGTTGGCGCAACTCTATTGCAGCACGTGTATTTTTTAGCATTTCGATATATCGCGCGGTATCGCAATAATGGTAATATTGTCAGCGCGCTAAAATCGCCGATAGATAATGACGCTTCTTATTAACCAGTTATAAATGCAACGACGTGTATACGCGCCGCGGGCCCGCCAGGCCGACCTTTTTGTTCGCTCCGCGATCGATCCACACGTTGCGCATCGTTACGTGTAACCTTTCAAGTGGTGCGCGTGCTTTGGAGAATCCGAAACCAAATACACATTCACGTAACCCCAGTTGAATTCGCGGTAAATTGCAGAAATTCAGGGCTTTTGCGGCGACGCAAATTGTCGGCTTTGCTTCTGGAAAAAAATACTAATTTTAATACCATAATACTGAACGCATACGTTTTCGTGTTAGCGATGAGTTGCGTCGCAGATTTTATTTTAATCTTTCCCGTTTAGTTCATATTTTGAAATTTATATAATCACGGTATGTAACGTGAAATTGGATTCATTCTCAATGTATCTGTTAAATATAAGACAATTCACAGGAATTCTTCGAATGACGTATCATAAACGTATCATAAATGTATCACAAACGTCGCATTTATAAAATCGCTGTCTTCGATCGATTGGACGGCGCTTATTAACGCGCGATCAATGCACTTCCCGAAATAGTGAAATCATGGCCGAGCGCTCCCCGATAAACGTACGAAAACGACGTAGTTACAATTACCGCGCATATCTCTGTCCGCTCGATAGTTCCATTGTCCCGGAAAAGCGTGTAGAAGAACGGCGCGATAAAAAAAAAAAAAAAAAAAAGGTGCACGAGAGCGAGCGCGGCGGAGAGGAGAGTATACGGTGGCAGCAGCGGCCGAGGTGCATTTTACGCATTCGCGTGCGTGTGCGTGTCGCGCTGTGCAGTTCTGGCGCGGCCTTGAGAGGGGTTCTTTGTGCGGTTCAGCGTTCACTGCAGCTCGCGCTCGCGTATACGCTCACGCACAACCGCGAGACACGGTATATACACCCACACACAGTTACAAGAGTGACTCCCGCCGTTACATACGTACACTGTAACAAGTTGCGTTGCACTTATGTACAAAGGGCGCTCCATGTGACTCACGTGCTCGCATATGCTACCGGCGGTCTCTCCGTCCCTCTCGCTCTTCCCCCTCCCACTGTTTTGATCTTTCCTCCTCTTCTCCCTCCGCGTGCTATTCTATTTATTTCTCTCTCTCTCTCTTTTTTCTGCTTCTTCTCATCCGTACATATATATATATACCCACATATATACATACATATACGTACATACATGTACATACATATGTACCCACATATACACGTAAACGCATTATACATGGCCGCGCGGTTTTTCTCTTTCTGCTCTCTCTCTCTGTGCTCTTCTCTTTGTCGGTCAACGTCTCTATCCCACTCCACCGTTGGAGTGTGTGCACGTATAGCTCGATCCAGATATATATACACACACACACCGAAGTGCACACACGAGACCACGAAGAGTGCATGCGGGTGTTGGCCACGTGCGCGATGCACTTTTTGCTCGCGAGGCAACCTTCGCCTTTTATATGCGTCGCGCGCACGCGGGGCCGCGTTGGAACTTTATACCCCTTTTCAGTGATTTGCTACAACGAGCTTTTCGGTATGTGCCGTTGAACAAAGGTAATAGGAAAGCCACGACGGCGCAAGATCACCGTGTATTTTTCGTAAAGTAGAAACGCTTCGTCGAGCTTTCCTTTGATAACGCTGACTTAAGCAGAAACGATAAATCGATTCTCCCTCTCTCGAAACCTTTGTAATATCCCTTGAAATTCGCAAATTAGATAGTTCTCAAAATATAAATGTATATTACTTTATAGACAACATACGATATTTATTTTCAATCTTTCCATAATAAAAAAATCTATATACCTATGCTATTTTCAATATTAGCGTATTAATCAATTAGAAACAAATTTCGAAACAGATATATGTACGTAAAATCGAGTATATAAAGCGACGTGAATCTTTCAGCACCGCGAGTTTGGCGATAATAAATATCAAATTCGATTATTATAAATCTCTCTCTCCGTAAAGGTTCCAGCGCTGCGCGCGGGTGTTCTCACGCGGGAACCGCGTCGAGTGACATTTGGCTGGAAAAACAGGTAGAAAGCCAACGGGACGTCGATGCTGCATCTCTATGACGCATATATATATTTTGCAAGCGGTGAAAAGCGCGCGAGTGTATCCCTCCTTCTCTATCCTTCTTAGACCGCTGACTGTTGCTGCTGCTGCTGTTGCAGCGCTCGAACAGCAACGAAGATTTCGCGACGGCGAACGGCTTTAATCGAATGTAGGCGATGACGACGATGTGTGTGCCGTTGCACAAGTGAAAGAGCCCCGAGAGCCATTATGGACGTTTACTCGAAAATGTCAAGGATGCAACCACGTGTGCTTGCGCGGGAAGACGACGGAAAGACGGAGGGAGAAAGAGGGGAAACGAGACAATGACGGCCGCGGGGCACGGTAGAGTTGTTATTTTGTCACGCATGGCTCGTATATGCGTTCCACGGTGCGAAATGAAAAGTGGCCGTATCTAAATGTTTCTGGAACTCTATCTGTACGATATACGGTGAGGCATCTTCCCGCGGGGAGTCGCTTTCACCGCGCTGCGGTCAGAGTCGTGCGATGCGCTTTCAAGGTTGCAACCCGCGGAGTGCAGGAGTATGATATCGCGATTTATGTTTCGTAACACGCGCGCGACAAGTGTCTTCCCGATACTCGGTTATCTGTAAGGGGCACAAGCATGACGTCAGCAGCTCGCACGATTGATATCCGATTCCGATCGTTGAAGCGCGATATTTATTTATATAATCAACTCCGTTGCATCAGACAGGGTATTAGGATTTCTTTTATTCTCGAACTAGAGAAAGGATGACGTGGTCGTTTAATAAAACTGCTAGTCGATGACATGATGGCGAAGAGGAAGATATATCTGAACGTCTCTCACATGAGCGCAGTGGAAAGCGTGTCACTTGGTAGCGGGAGACAGCGCGTCAAGACTTTATCGTTGAAGGATTGCAATGTTCTACGAAATCGTAGCCGCGGTAGATAAAAACGCGCACACATATCCAGACAGGAGACAGGCAGTCTGCTGTACGGCGCGTGATAACGCACGTTTTCTAAGCTCAGATATACTGACGTATATATGTTTGTCCAGCTTGAAACAGTTGATTCCAAGGCCTGACGCCTATCAATATCTACGATTGTCAATGTCGTTGTATCACGATCGGCCTAAGAAGAAACCTTATGCGCAATAGTTTAACGGACGTGATCTTCACGCCGAAGAAACTGTAAACACTCTCGTGTACATGATTCTGATATTGATTTACATATTCTAATTAAACGAATTTATTAGGAGTATAAATAAGTTTCCGCCGTTTTTTCATCAAAAATTGGGCATTTATTGTGAAAGAACTACCACTACTTTTTCCCATCTTTCTAGTAATTGGTGGATTCCACGTCGAAAGAACAAAAAAACGTCGAAACTACGTTCTTTGTCTTCGACGTCAATCTTCAAATTAAAGAAGCTCCCACAAATGACGCTTATACGGCTCAAAACTCGACATTTTCATACGAAAAAAATGATATACGATGCTGATACAAAATCGCTAATATTTTAAGGTTATGTTGTTGCCAGATATCCAACCTTACGATATGACGTTTTACAGCAGACAAATTTAACCGTAACATCCTGGTGGCACCATCTTTTGTCAAACGGCGGAAACTTATTTATACACCTAATATATTTATATCTTTATTTCGCATAGGAATATTTGTAATCACACGTTCGAAAAATTGGAACGAATGTCATAAATTCTTTATACGATACCTGGGTAGAAGTTGCACGTGCCCAAGGGTATCCTCTAATGCGCGCAAATGTCGAAACTGCAAGGAGAAGGTTGTGTCGGATCACCCGATATAAATTTTAAAACGATCATTACCCAACGATGTCTCTCTCTCTCTCTTGCCATATTCGGACTATGTTACCTTGCAGCACTTAGTGGCATTAAACCTTATATGCGAAGTAACCGTTTCAGCGCACTCCGGTCACTGACAATTTGCCATTGTGTAACGTAATTTGCGTATAATCAATTGTCGTTATGAAGCGTGGCGATACGAGCGGGAAATGTTATTACCGTTCGTTGGCGGACGGTAGCTATAAAATCGCGGTCATCATTAATTCAAGTATCACATGACGTCGTTGATAGATGTATTCGGGACGAAAGAATCTCCTAATTATTACATACGAGCCGATTAATCTAATCATTGCTTTTTCCCGACCACCCCGTCTACGTGATAATTATCTTCGTACACAAAAATCTTTAATGGAGCGAATCTTGAAGAAAGTTTTCCTTTCCTGTTCCGCAGATCGGGCGCCGCGTCGATCCGATTCCGGATCTCAGCAACCTCTGGTGATCTGGCTGCAGTCCGGCAACGTCGAAGACTTGTCGAACTTGCCGCTACCAGACTTGGTGCAGTCGGCCGTGGATCAGCTGCCACCGCCATCGCCCCACGTGACAGTTTCTGTCCCCAGCAGCCCGATGAGAGACGCGACCTTCCAGTTCCCTGAGTGTAACGTCAACAGCAACGGTGCACCGTTGCCGAGCCCAAGGCCACGGCCACGAAGACGTTTCGCCTCGGAGAGCTCCGTCATGGAGACGGGCCCGATCGAGGTGAGCAACTGCAACGGTACCACCTGCCGCTGCCACCTCGGCCTGATCCTCAACGAGAGGCAGTCGTGGACGAGCGTGGGTGCGAATCTCAGGAACATCGCCGGGGATTTCCACGCGTGCAGGACCAAGGTCAGTGTTACACGCCAGTCACGCGTCGTTACTTCGCGGTGAAGAGAAGAGTGAGATCCGCAATTCCGATTCGAACGAGTATGTATATAGCGGGGGAGGAATGCAGATTGCGAATCTCTCGATGTCGAGTCACGCGTCGTTGTCTCTTTTTTTTCATATTAAAATATGCATTCCTCCCCCGCGATTCGATCGCATTAATATATCGGTATTTATATCGAGAATGAATTACGGATATCTAGAAATATCTATCAAATTTCACGCTCATTTATTATTAGAGATTAAGTTTTACTTTTTTGAGTCGGGGCTTATCTTCGGAACAATTTTGAACGCATCGCTTTTATCGCTTTTCTCTTCGCGTCGTTGGTTGGTACCGTCATTGATGGCGTAATACAGTAGCGTTTATGGTGAGAGGTGTACAGGTGTAAAACGCCATGCGTAAAAATTGTACGGCACGCGTTTTGCACGCACTGGGAGCCATCACTGTAACTTTTCACTCCACGCATCGCAATTTCATCTTCCCCATGCAGGCTTTTATTTGTCATAAAGTTACCCTTGTGTCACGTGTATTATAAAATGTAACAAATGCACGGACAAAAAGTCCTCCGAAGGGTTAATTTGAAATTTCACTCACCCCCCGAAATCCCTAAGTTCCTGTCGCTTAATTTACTGATTATATTACAAGTTTCATAAACGTGTCCTTTATTTTTAAATGTTATAGATACTCTTGTGTAAACTTTTTCAAAACGCGAATTCAAAAAGTATTTTAACCCAATATAATTAAAGTTGACTGTTTCTTTATCTAGTCGAGTATTTTATTATCTAAATTGTTCACAGAATTCCTATATTAATCTAATCTGATTGGACTGTATCATTATGTACTTCGATGAACCGATACTCTTTTATCGATTTCGGTCTGGGATAGTATCGAGATATTTAGAATTCGATAGCGCCACGAATGATTGAATATCTTTCATTTCGCCGCGAAACTTTTAGGCGCCTCACTACGATCGAGTTCGCAGTTAGAGGTGTTTCTTCTGGAAGAAAGATAGAAACTATCGTCGTTGCGGGGTCATAAACGCGAATTTAGTTATATCAGGGTACCAGCGATGGTCCCACGAGTGCAATAAATATCAGCTCACCACCGTCGAGACGTCTAGTATTGCCCCCCGTGTGTATGGCCCGGGTGCCACTAGCACTTCATCAAAACTTCACCCATCCCCATCTCGCAGTGGTCGTTCGATCAAATATGTATCGCGAACTGATACGGTCCTTCTCTGGTATTTTACGACGCGGTTCTTCTCCTTGTTCGCGGAAGAAAGAAAGTGACAATTGGGAATTGGCTGGCGAATAAATGGAGAAACGCGGATCGGAGATATACATCACGAACATAGAAACGTGCACACGATGTCATCATCTTCGAGATTAATGCGGTAATGAAACGTGTCTACGATATTATTTGGATGGATCGGCACTCTATATATGCGCGACTATATTCCTAGCTTCTTTACTAAAAAGAAGTAATATCTATCATTCATGTTGCGGATTAATTATGAACATCTCTCTTCTAGAAATGTCGGGAAACTCATTAGAGAGACAAGGCAATCCTTCTTTCTTGAATATTTAAATTTCAAACGCTTATCCAATTATGATTGCAATTTCCTGTTGTCTATTATTAGTCGAGACAAACATATTGCGCGATCAATATTATAACGAGACGTTTTATCCGGCTCTCTGTAATACGCGAAAGAAGCGGGCATAATTAACGCGACAGTTACGAGATATCCACTCTTTCGTTAAAAAGGACTACGGGTCGACGGAGGGTCGTTCGATCAAATATGTATCGATGGAGGAGAAAATTCCCCTCGGTTTTACAACGACTCTCATTTGCGGTTGGGAATTGAAAGAAAGTGAATGGCAGCAGGATGAGACACTAATAGGAAAAGTAAGAAGAAGAGAAAGTAGACGGGGAGAAGGATAGTAAGATGAACAAGGTGGAAAGAGCCATTTCTCTTTTATTCCGCCTCGCTTTTATCCACTTTAAAGGCCCGTCGGCGTGATATCCAATCCCGGAACGTCTAATTATTGCTGGTTAAGTGCCGGTAATTGAAGAGGGGGCGAACAGACCCGTGAAATTGAAGAAATCTCTTCGTCTCGCCTGTTCGTAGGAGATCCGATACCGATCAGTTCCTCGACTTGGTAACTCGAGAAGTATCTTGTTGATAATACGAATGGAGGATCTCCTAAAGCCAACAGGGTCGTCTTCATGCTTTTCTCTTCTTCCTCGCGCTCGCAGAAATTGAAATGTCAGATTAATACCACACTGGCAACATCATTGGCAGATCAGGAAACAGCTGATCTTGTAGCTAACGCGACGTCTCGTTTTGTATCTACCGTGTTAAAAAGAACAAATTGCATTGAAATTTATTAGGTGTACGAAAAAGTTCTGAGCTTTAGATTTCATACAACCGAAATAACAATTTAAATTTTATACATCTTCCCGCCCTTTTGCGGTTTTAAAGCGTTAACATTTGGCCTTCTAAAATGCCATACGGAGTTTCGCTAAGGAGATTTTAGTCTTAAAGATGAATCGCGTGCTGGACGCCCTGAAAAGATTGAAACGGACGAATTGCAAGCACTGCTGGATATAAACTCTGCGCAAACTGAAAAGGAGCTTGCAGAACAGCTTGGCGTTACGCAGCAAGCCATTTCCGTACGATTACATACGAATAAAGATTGAATTTTACAAAAAAAAAAGCTCAGAACTCTTTTGTACACCTAATAATTACTTCGTCATTCAGTAACGTACACACAAAAAAATAATTTAACACTCTGAAGCGGATTATTACATTCTACGTAGAAATACGTGGAAACGCAGTTCTCAAAGTGCTCGCCGTCAAATTGCGGCTTTTCTAACACGTCTAATGAGCTTTTCGCAAACTTCCGGAAATGCGTCGCGGAAACGATCTTCTCGTCTCTCATGTGCCCCTCTGTGGCGCAATGGTCACGGGAAACTACCGATGGCACGGTGCTTTACATATGCATGGAGAGTAAGCGAGCATGTAGCGGCTAAGTGGCCACATCCCCTTACGTGAAAGTTAAGTGGGCATGGCAGCACGAGCCGTGGCCACGGGCCGAGAAAATTATCTTCAATTATCTCGTGCAATCGGAGCCCTCCCCCTCCGCCCCCTCCGCTCGTTCGCTCCTGCCTCGCGCGCGTTTTGTCTATCTCGCTCTTTCGATTAGCCTTTCGGCCGAGCGTCACTCTTTTATACCTGCTCGATAATCGAATAGCTGTACGCGTTCTCGCCGTGTTTTCGTTGACCTCCGGATAGAGAGGGTTATACACCTGGTGTAACTTGCGTTTCTATGTAACGCGGGATTATGGGTGAGTGGCCGCGCGCGCGCGCGCGCGCTCGTAAAACGCCGGGATATAGTACTTCAACGTGTCAGAAACAGCGAAATAGCCGCCGACTTCTCGCGCTTGGAAAATTGAAGTCAGGCAATTGCCGGGAAATTTCCCGTGAGAGGGCATGTGCCGATACCGCGCGCGTAGTATACACTCCGCGAAACTCATTACTCACGAACACACGTTGGCTCCTCGCTGGTCTGGCTAAATTTTAGTTTAGACGCTCCTAAATGATCCGATCTAATTTGTTTCCCCGTACTCGACAACAAGAAGCCGTACTCCACTTCGCGGAATAGCGTGCGGTACACGGATCGGATCTCGAGTGGCGAAACGCGCGGCTCGCCTGACATTTATCCATAGTTATATTAAACGATCTGACCGACGCGCAAATTGATACATTAGTATATACCCTCATTGCGCGCGGCGAGATAACGGATTTTTTTGCGATGGCGCAAGAGGGGTGGGAGGGGGGGGGGGACCCGATACAAGAAAGTCGATAGTTCTTCGGACCTACGTTAGGCTCGTTGCACGCGAACCGCTTGACTCTCGTTTACGTCTTATTTTCACCTTCGCTGCGGTAGATATACCTGCGACGCCGCTACTGCGCGTAACCTGCGCGCGCAAATTTATCACGCTTTGTCACGCGCGGCACTCGCGGAAATTCCTGCGCTCTTGCCGTTCCCTCGCTTTTTATTGGAAACGGGAAAATTATTGTCGCCCCCACGAGGCGGCGATAATTTATATAATACTCATGCATCTCTTTAACGAGACACCTGTAACGGTAATAATAATAATGATTCGCTCGATAAGCAATCGCCCCCCCCGTGAAAAATAGTGAAAGTTCGCGGATAATTCCTGCAATGTGACGGTAACTGCGGGCCGCAACTAGTTATCATGCATATGCAAGTATATAGCCGTACTAATTAGCAATGATCGACGTTTAATTATCAGTTATTATATCGGCCGTAAGCAGCGCGATATTAACAGTTCCGATTAATTGTCTATCTACTTTTGAAACAAGATTCAAGAAGTAAGATCGAGCGTAAAGGCGTAATCACACTGGCGATTGCGCGATTGTGATTGACGATTGAGGATTACTTTTCAACCAATCGGAGCAAAGCAGTCGCCGATTGCTTCGTTCCGATTGGTTGAGAAGTAATCCTCAATCGTTAATCACACTAGCGATTGTGATTGACGATCGAGGATTACTTTTCAACCAATCGGAGCAAAGCAGTCACCGATTGCTTCGTTCCGATTGGTTGAGAAGTAATCCTCAATCGTCAATCACAATCGCGCAATCGCTAGTGTGATTACGGCTTAACGTATGTGTTTTCGCGCGCACTTTTGCTATCGTCGACCGCTATGCACCGCGCAACTCGTTTTAACGACGGTGGCTGCGGCGGGGAGCGCGTTGCGCGTATAGAACGAGCGCGCATCTCAATCGTCAATCACAATCGCGCAATCGCTAGTGTGATTACGGCTTAACGTATGCGTTTTCGCGCGCACTTTTGCTATCGTCGACCGCTATGCACCACGCAACTCGTTTTAACGACGGTGGCTGCGGCGGGGAGCGCGTTGCGCGTATAGAACGAGCGCGCCGACCGCAACTTCTGTTTTCCATCGGCTTTTTCTTACTTAATCTTCGCGGCGCGCGAAACCTTAGAACCGGGCGATTGGCCGTTTCCACGGCAAACCGCGCAATTACGTTGCACAATAATCTATCTCGCCAGTAGTCGCGCGCGGCGCACGCTCGCCGATCGTAAGCCCTCTCCGTCGTGCCGCGGTGAGTCCGCGGTGGAACGAAGATGGAAAAAAGTAAGAGCGAGAGAGGAGCGTACTCGGTTTAATCGCTCGCATCGCGAAAGCCGCTCGTGCGTAATTGCCGATACTTCTTTTTCCCGAACGACCGACAATTCGCGATAAATCGCCGCGAGCGCTACGCTCGAGTCATAGGCGCGGCGCGGAGCGGCGATTATCCTGCCGCTCATAAATTTATTTATTTCGGGGATTGCGCGAGAGTTCTTACTTCGTTCTCCGATTGTCTGTCTGTTTTTCCTCGACGCTTCGCCAATACGGCAAACGTATCGATGGCTCGCGCGCGCACGTAAGCGCGGAAATGCAATATATTGATTTTCCTTTCGCGATGCGTATTGAAGAATTGGTTGCGGTTGCCCAGTCACGGGCAATCACGGGGAAATTTACATTTTACGATTCATCCGTCATAAAGCGGAGTGGCGTCGCGTCTTTTCTGCAGGTTGCTTTCTAATCTGCATTCATGCACATTTTCGTATACCTTTCATCGCGGTGTTTTTCCTTCGTGCGTGAAATGTTTTTACTGTCATTGATAGTCGACCTAGTTTTCTTCTTCTTTTTTCTTTCCGAATCCGAAGAATCGACTCGCGTATCGTGCACAACGCAATTTTTCTTTGTGTTAACAAACATCGAGTACTTTAATTCACGTAGGTACATATCTCTGGCATTTATCAAACGCGTGTAAAAAAAAATGTGTAAAAGGGTATATCGCGATACTTTCCCTCTTATAGTTGCATAAAATTTGTATAAGAAAGAATTTTATTTCAAACTGCTAATTTAAAAGTACTTTATGTAAGTTTAATCTTATCGATTTAATCTTATCGGCGGGAGAGATATACTTCTCGTTTTCTGTAAAATAGTTTTGACATAAAGTTTTTCTATTTGCACACGAGCGACGTGTAGCCAACCGTATTGCTCGAACGAGCGTTCTCTTCCGGACTGCAGGGTTATAAAACGACGTCACTCCGGCAATATCTCCGTTCATACACGTAGAGGCTACAACGACACGTCCGCGCGAAGGAGAGAAAGTCCATCTCGCAGTCTCGGTTACTGTCGCAGGTGGTCGATCGAGGATCCTCGTATCGCATTAGACATTAACGAACCGTTGATCGTGTCCCTTCGCGGCGACTTACCCCACACGGTGTCAGACGTCAAAGCGCGATCTCGCGGCGAGGAAGGGACACTATTAATTGACGAGCCGAACGCTCCCACGAGCAGCACTCTCGCGCCCTCCCACATAATTCTCCCTTAATGTGACGTTCTCGTCTACTCCTCTTACTTTCCGCCCTATCCACATCCAAGATAATCTTTCCTCTCGCGCTTATATACGCGCCAACGACGAATCGAATGTTTCTCCCGTGCGTGATTGCAAGGGTGTGAGAGAGCATGTATTTTCTCCCTTTCCCTCACAGGGTCGTACACCGCCTAGATATTATGGTCATCCCATAAAAGCCCACCGCCTTGGTGATTGGGCTTTCCCCGGGCGTTTATTATTGCGCGTCCGGTCACGGCGAGTGGATTAAGACGAGACGGGAGTCGGAAGTTCGCGGGTCGAAGCTGAGATAACGTTGACGGGAGGCGGGCGGGAATAGAGAAACAAAGAGAACCCTCCGGAGTTAATCGTCCTGCGGCAGGACGTTTCTTTCACGCGAGATATTACAAGAACGTGCTATCAAGATTTGAGATAATTTTCTCAGCCTTCAGCTAGATCAGTGTAATGGATTTTTTATGCGTTTCTTGTATTACATTTTGCTCGCGGGGACGCGATAAATTATATCTATATCTTATTTTAAAAAATACATCGATTTATTTCGGCGTAAACAAACATATTAATTTGCATCAAATTACACGTCTCGTAAATTGAATCGATAGTAAAGGAAGACTTTCTTTCAATACACAAATCTTGCGGTCCAGTTAATACGCGGAATCATTAAACCGATCTTATCCGAAAGTATCGCGAAACTAATTGGGTAATAAGTATCGTTTATAAGTACAATCCTAACGGAATTCCTTTTTACGTCGCGCGAGCGATTTATACGATTCTCAGCACGGAAACCTGCATTGTAACGACCTCCACCAATACCAGTAGCTATAGGCATCATTCAGTGCTACGGAAAGGAAGTTAATTGGGTAATTAGTGTCGTTAATAAGAAGGCTTTAATTGAACCTTTTTTTTTTCCGGGTCGCGAGTGGTTTGCGCGCGAGGAACGGTTTTCGTAAAGAAAACAGGGAGCCCGAGAGACGTTGTAGACTTTAGCGACGCGATATTTCCCCTCTTACTACGCCGTCGTTCCTTCGTGTAAATTCGTCGAGGTAAAGGGACTCGATAAAACGACATCGTCGCGTTTTTCTCCTTTTTTTTTTTTTTTTCCCCTTTCCATTGAAGGCTTAGCCGCAAGAGAGTGCCGGATCGTCGGTAATTCCGTCCAATTAGAACATTCCCAATTAGGAACCTTAACTCCGCACGTCGACCGTTGTTCCTTCCCGTACCATTCTCACTCCCCGGATCCACTACGACGAGGAGAAACTTACGACAGGTTGCCCTCGCCAAATCTTCGCGAGAGTATCTCGTTACGTCCATTTACCGTTGAAAGATTCATTTTCACAGAAACACACATTTAACAGTAATTGCGATCTAATCTTTATTAGTCTACTTTATTTTGTCTACGTGCATCAACATGCAACTTGGACGTATTTTTTCTATCTTACACTCTTCATAAAAATACATTTTAATCGGCGGAGGGTGACGATCGACTGACTATTAGCATACTTAGAGTATTGAATGTTAACTTAATATTTCATTCTGTTGGAATTGAACGAAGGTAAAATTGGGCAATACTGAGCGACCAATGTCGCTGCTTACTGTTGCAGGACGCCGAGATCGAGAAGTCGACGCTACCGATGATCGGTCCAGGTTTGAACGGTCGCAACAGCAACTCGTCATCCACCGACAGCTTACTGTCGTTGTTGATTCCGACGCCGTTACGAGAGACCCTCTGGGCAACCGTGGCTCTATACCTAGGCTGGAGACTCGTCTCCCGCCTGCGATAGATGCGCCGATTTCGTCCAGCCGTTCTGGGTGATCCTGTGGACCTGATCGTCGATCATGTCGACGACTGGAACGGTGATGTTTGGGGGTTATAATTAAAGTAAAACGGACGGACCGCCAGCACTTCTGTCTTTGTCTGCGATCCGCAGACACTCCTGTATGGAATCCTCTGGACGGATCGTTTCGAGGGGAGGAGGAGGAGGAAGAGGAGAGGCAGTCCACGGCGCGTACTCTGGATCTCTCTCTGTCATCGGATAATGGATTTAATTGAGGTAGAGCGCGTCGAGAACGACGAAGTGTTCTTTCATTGAACATCCACTCCGATAATACGATTGTAATTTTATATTGTCTATCGTTGTATTTCGCGCCTGCGTTGCGCGGCTACGCGAGAATGCGCTTGATCGACTTTGATCGGTTCTTGAGGGACCATGCGACTGCAAATAAAATATTGATATCTTTGATCACGACGATGAAAGTAGTGATAATTATTTGCTTCTGCGGCGTGCTTCTGATTTCCTTATTGATTGATGATTTTAATTAATTGATTAATTTGATAATTGATAATCGATTATATATATTACGATAATTATTATGATTTTATTTAGTAGCTGATAATTGATAAATGATAATTGTAATTAATAATGATGATAATGGATTGATCTTATAATAACTTTTATGATGATTGTGATAATAATGATTGAGTTGATGAGTCATAGTTGCTCTCTACTGTATACCCTTTCATCCCTCCTCGGGGACGAACGGGTAGAATTTATATGAAAAGATCTTTAATTGGAAGCTTGATATTCCAAAAAAAGCTCTTAAATTTTATCTATTAATTAGATCGATGTCGATGGAAGAATCGACCATCCTATCTATTTGCTTTATTTGCTGTTTGTCGAGAATTGCGTGCTAAACGATAAATTGTGACTGTGATTGCCGCGGGATGACGAAACGAGAGGGTTTCGCGACGGCGGCATAGCGACGTCGAAGTACAAGTGCATTCTCGCGCGATGCAGGAGTTATTTTCGTACGTAGCGCTGCTGTTCATTCGTGCCGATAGTTTCGTTCTGCGAATTCGTAGGCGAAAGGGCGAAGAACGGAAACTAGCATGTTGCGGGGACGGGAGAGGGGACGGGGGAGGGGGGGGGGCAAGATGAGCCGGGCGAGAATAATCGAATTGCGGTATTGTGTGGCGATCGGACCCGAGACACGAGGAGGGAGGTATTAAGGGTGGACGGGGGAAACTAAGGACGAGATCCAAAGAGGATTAAACCCAATAATCAAATGATGATCTCATTACGGATAAATAAAGAGAATTAAATAAAGTAGTGTGATTATATGGGAGCGAGAGAGGGCGGACCACACGCCCCCAATTCTCTGTCTTCTCTTCGCGCGTCCGTCCCTCTCTTGATCTCGCCAAGGTAGAAAGACTACTCTTCGATACGTGGCTTGTAGATAGCGCGGTTCCCCGACCGATAGCGGTCGACGGAGCGATTCTTGTTCAAGATTTTTTAACGACGCGCCGCGTTACGGTTGATGTTTCGCGAAGCTTGTTTGTTAAATATAAATTTCCTCGAAAAGGGACAACGAAGATCTTTAATTTTGACACTGTCACGAGTCTAATAGATCTGTTTCGTCTGAAATACAATTGAGATTCACCGTTTATTACAATTGATCGGCCTCGCCAAACATCTACGGTGCGCGTGCGAAATGTATGTAATATAAAAGAGACGTCGAGAGGGATTGACGATTCCAAAAATGTTAAGAGGATAGGGGACGAGCGAGGACGTAAGGTGGAGACAGGGGAGCGAACTTGTATATGCATAGAAGATTTATCTAAAGTAATAAAAACTCAGTAATAAGTCGATGTTATAATTAATTAAAGTAGATAATCGATAGGCCGAGGATCGCAGCATCTTGATTGGCTAGCTGCGACTCCCGTGGACAGTTTTCAAATGATCTCCGGTAGCTTAGCTATTAGTAGGCAGCCTCGTGACACGCGAGACACGCCTTTCGCGGCACATCGGAAGGAACATCTCCTTCTTTCCCCTGTGTCCCTTTTCTAACTTCTATTCTCTCTGTCCTCCTTTCCCGTTTCTATCCTCTCATTCTTCAAAAACTGTCTATCGATTCTCTTGCTCTAACTCACTTATCCTCAATCTTCTAAGAAGATCCCCCCTCCCCCCCCCCCCCCCCCACTTCCCTGCTTCGCAACTCCAATTTATATCGACGACAGTTCTCCAACTGTTTTGTTGTGCGCGACGTAACGCGACGTAACGTAATCTCTGATCTCGAACTTAGCGTGTATTGGTATAAGAATCATGTGTTGTGTTCGCTTGACGATTCGGAGTCTCAATTTTCAATGGGCGAGAGCGGGCCCGAGCCTTCTCGTTTCGCGAGGATTCTCTTAGGATTCTAGATAGGGCTAGCCTAACGAGCGAGGAGATGGGAACAGTGTATCCTCGGGCTTTCTCGTTTGGTTTTAAACTATCGAGACTGCTCGTCCCTGCGGGCCGCGCTTTCTCTTCTCCCCGAGTGCAAGTCTATTGCGTTTTCCTTTGTCTCCCTATTGATAGAACGATCGTGACGTTACTCCGTCAAAGTATTCCAGTGTGTAGGTCTATAGTATTTATTTGTAGGCGATACCATTTTTCTACCGTTTAATAGAGCCGCGTTTTCAGATAAATATATACGCGGAATACATATATATATATATATTACTGCCACTTCGAGATAAGCAAATCCTCGCCAGACGCTTCCAAACGGAAGCGATTTTGTGGAAAGTCAATAACGTCGGTGTCCATAACAAGTAATTTCTAAAGATGAAAATAGTTAGAGTCATTGAAACAGAGATATTTAAAAATAGAGGAGTATTTGGTACGCGCTGTAAGGAAAGAGTTTATACACGGCAAGAACGCGTTATTCTAATCTTATTACGCGCGGATCATAGAGTCTTCGTATTTTCACATTGTATAGCGCTTTATTTTGTCAGGAACTCAGATGCAGTTCCGCGAAACGCGAGTCACCATTAAATCTAGCACATGTAAAAATCGAACAATGCATACTGTTTTATTTCGTAAAATTCCATTAATCTCAAAAAATGCATTTAGCGAATTTATCTTAATATGCAATAAATAATAAATTGACGATTTTTTTCAATTAGTTAAACATTCATTGAAAAACGGTCGCATATTGTTGGAAAATCTAATAAATATTATTCTTTAATTAAATTTAAAAAATGAGACTCTAATTTCATGTTAATTGAAGAGTATTTACAATTTTTTTTGACAGAAATCTTTTGTCACAGTAATTCAAAATTTTAAATTGTCAAAATTCGAATAACATTTTCGATAATTGGACATAAAGCTTGCTAATTAAAAATATTAACGATCGTCGCAATAAATTTTCTCAAACAGAGTGAATTCAACGGTAATTCGCGTTTTACAGTCGGTAGAGTTTCCAATCTTCGATCAGGTTTCCTCTCTGTGCAGCTTGCTTCTTTCACGGAGAGAGCATCACGCAAAGGTACAAGATTATCGTATATACACATTTGATGTAGCTAGTGTTCGTCGTTGTATCGCGAGAGCCGAGCCAAGAGAGACAAAACTCTTTCTCTCGGCGGAGGTTGTTGCATTGCATTCCGACCAAAGGGAAAATTCCCGTTTTCCTGCAGCGCGGTGAAACGAGACGGCCTAAAAGAAAGGTCGCGGCCATTTTAATCCTTTTACTTCGTAGATAGGGAAAGGCAGAGCGAATTCGCGAGCCCCCGCCGTTTATGGCCCGGGGGCGGATATATACACGCAATATAATATATATATGTGTGTGTGTCTGTGTGCGTATGTGTGTGTGTGTGTGTGTGTGTGTGTGTGTGTGTGTGTGTGTGTGTGTGTGTCGGAGGAAAATTGAAAGTGAGAAAGCACGGCGCATGTACATAGTCGCTTCTCTTCGGGGCCGTTAAACGCAGTAATGAACTACGATTTCTTTCCCCGGTGTATTTCTTTTTTTTTTTTTATCTTTTTCGTTTATTTTTTAGAATTAATTGCTCTGTAGAAGCACTTAGGTAGTAGTCAGCCATATTGAGAGTATAATAATGATATATGGATAAACGTATATAAAAGTATATATATATAATGGAAGACATATATGTATATATATATATATATATATATAAAATATATATATATTTTAAATGGTATAGTTGGGGATATTACTGTTTCGAGAAATAACCTGATGGAGAGAAACGTATATTTCGAAGGGGCGCGAGCCCGGAGAAAGTATGAATAGAAAGGTGATGTTAAGGGTAGTGGAGACGACGGTTCATCGGAGATTGATAGAGGTGTTGATGGATGTAGATCGAAGGTGGGAAATAAGCTGTAACTGTGACTATGCGGATCGTGGGGGGCAGGCTGTTGATACGCTTACTCGAGAGCTTAACCCCGGGATTGATTTTAGGCATACTTTTGCAAACGACGTAGGAAAACACGAGAAAAGCGGTCTTCTCGAGGATCTTCTTGCGTTTTTAAGGGACAAGTCCGTGATGTAATGCATTAGCAATTATTCGCAATACGCTCAAACATGAAGTCTGATTAAAAAAAGAAAAGATGACCCAGCGGTAGATGCAGCCCGCCCATCCGAGATCCCCGCGCGTCAAAGCGTCACTGTGATCTCGTAATTAATAAAATATCCGATTATTATAAAAAATAATCATACTATGGTATATCCTTCCCCACCCCTCCCCCCCCCCTTTCCGTAAATAAGAGAAAAATCCTAGAGACATGATCTATAACGTATTTTCGCAACTATAACCTCAGTTGCGCCTCTCATTGCATTTCTTCGTCCCACCTTGTTCTGTTTTTTTTTTTATTTTTCTTCCTTTTTTTTTCTTAATTTTTATGTACGCGCGTTTGCGCGCACATTAGTTTGTAAAAGTAAAATTATAAGATATGTATATTGATAAATCTTTCATATGATCTCGCGGAGGTATCAATTGTTAGGCGAATTC